TTAAAAAATGTAAATCTAAGAGACACATTTTAATTGAGAGGCCCAGTATTGCTGAATGGAGAGTAAGGTATTTAAGAGCTATACGGAAACATAGAAATGAAAACCGAAACATATATTATCTGGACGAAACCTACGTTAATAGTAGCCACACCTCCAATATGTGTTGGCAATCCGAATCTGAGCCTGGAATTTATGCTGATATTGGCAAAGGGCGTCGTTTGGTGATTGTTCATGGTGGTAGCCGAGACGGATTAGTTAACGGTGCCTTAACAATTTTCAAATCAGATTCGAAATGTGGGGATTACCATGGCGATATGAATGCCACAAATTTTCATAACTGGGTTAGTCACAAATTGAAAAATAAACTAGCTCCTAATTCAGTGGTCGTAATGGACAATGCCTCCTACCATTGTGTACAGGTAAAGAAAAAACCTACTATGTCAAGTTTAAAAAGGGACATGCAAGATTGGTTACGCGAACGTAATGTTGAATTTACACCAGATAATACAAAAGCCGAACTCTTTCATTTGATAAATAGAACTCAGTCCGAAAAAATTTACGTCATTGACGAAATATTAAAGGCTTCAGGTCATATCGTTCTTCGCCTTCCGCCATATCATCCTGATCTCAACCCCATTGAGCTTGTGTGGGCCGATATAAAGAACAATTTAGCTACAAATTATATAAATACTTCATTGGACGACAAAATTCCAATCATCACAAAATTGTTTTCTGAATTCACTCCGGGAAGATGGCAAAAGTGTGACGACCACGTACAGAAAATCGAGAACCAATATTGGGACCACGATATGAGGTTTGACAATGTAATAGACGAGTTGATCATAAACCTGGGAAACGATTCAGATTCTGAGGAGGATATGGAAATTGAAGACATGTATAGTAATGAAGAAGAAGAAGATATGGATTAATTTTGTGCTATAACGGATTTCGCTATAGAACTATAGCTGGTATACCAACTGGTCCACTAGCTTTATTCATGTCTAGACACCGCAAGGTTTTAATAACCTCCTTATTTGTGATACGAACCCACAGGTCGAACATAGAATTCTCGCAGTAAGGTAATTTAGGTTTAATTTGGGTGGTGAATTTAGAAAACTGTTTTGTATTATAAATAATAAAATCTAATTAACGCTTTTAAATACGTGTTAATTTTTGTTTAGCCCGGAAAATATAAATAATTTACCCATTATGTTAATTAAGACAGTTTCTAACATGGTTATCCGGAGATTTATCTGTCCTCAAATATCTCGTGTGCGTCTTGTCAATCGCGTCCTCCCCCCGTCTCGCCGCTTGCATACCTAAGGCGATGACTAGCACTTCCGCGCAGACTATAGCTAATCCCACCGCCAATGAAAAGGCTCTATTGGCACAATTAATTAAACAGAAACCCAATGTAAAATCTAAATTAACAATTAGCAAGTCGATCGCAAAAAAACAAGCAGCATGGGATTTAACCTTTTGAGCGCCAAAGTCGCCTATACTTGACCAGCACCTGCGGGCTCTGAGCGCCAACGACGTCTATAGTTGACAAAAAACCCGGCCCACAAAAATATGAAATATTTTTTTTTTATAGAAGAGGGGGCAAACGAGCATGCGGCTCACTTGATGTTAAGTGACTACCGCCGCCCATGATCAACCGCAACACCAGGGGAATTGCAGGTGCGTTGCCGGCTCTTTAGAAAGGAGTAAGCTCTTTTCTTGAAGGTCCCCAGGTCGTATCGGTCCGGAAAAAATCGCCGGTGGTAAACTATTCCACAGAAGGGTTGTACGCGGAAGAAAACTCCTTTTGAAACGTACAGTGGTGGACCGCCAAGCATCCAGATGGTGTGGATGGTATCGGGACGTTTGTCGCGTAGTGCGTTCACGAAATTTGGCGGCAGGGATTAATCCGAACAATTCCTCAGAGTACTCTCCATGGTATAAGCGAAAGAAAATGCAAAGAGATGCAACATCTCTTCGCAGTGCCAGTGAATCGAGTCGATCGGAAAGCACTCGGTCGTCGAAGATTCGAGCCGCTCTGCGCTGGATGCGGTCAAGTGGAAGAAGCTGGTACTGGGGAGCCCCAACCTAGAGATGGGAACAGTATTACATGTGCGGCCGAACCTGCGCCTTGTAAAGTTGCAGGTGGTGTGCCGGCATGAAATAATCTCTCGCTCTGCTGAGCACACCAAGCTTTTTAGAGGCCAATTTGGAAACTGCACGTCACTCGATATGTCGATACCGAGGATTCCGATACTGGCTGAGGCAACAAGGGGAGTGCCTTGAAACTGAGGCGATACGACAAAGGGGTTCTTTTTAGCGGTTAACGCGCAACTTGTGTCCTCTGGGGGTTAAACTGGACTAGATTTAGTCGCCCCCAATCCGAGACTCTGTTCAGCAAAGACTCGACTTCAGACACAAGTTTGTCCCGGCACTCGGAGACGTTTTCCCGAGAAATATTGGCTCGACCGGTGTAAAGAGCATCACCAGTGCTGTCATCTGCATAGCAATTAATGTTACGGGTTTGCAACATATCATTTATATGCAGAAGAAACAGCGTTGGCGATAGCACGCAGCATTGTGGAACACCAGCATTAATAGGCTTGCAATCGGAGCTTGCACCGTCAACAACAACCTTGATGCCCCGATCTGCAAGAAAGCTGGTGATCCAATCGCACAATTTCTCGGGAAGCCCATAGGAAGGGAGCTACGAAAGAAGCGCTTTGTGCCCAACCCGATCTAAGGCCTTCGCATTGTCCAAACTAACGGCCAATGCCTCCCCCTTGGACTCTATTGCCTCCGCCCATCTGTGAGTTAGGTAGACCAGAAGATCACCAGGTGATCGACCACGGCGAAAACCGTATTGGCGGTCACTAATCAGCTGGAACTCCTCAAGGTACCTCATGAGCTGGCAGTTTACAATGGACTCCATCGTTTTGGAGAACAAGGTGATGGCGATAGGCCGTAGTTGGACGGGTCTGAGTGGTCGCCTTTGGGACTACGCCTAGGAAGTAGGAGTACCGGAAAAGACGCGTTAAAATCGGTGCCAACTCTGGAGCACACGTCTTCAGTACAATTTGGGGGGATTCCGTCAGTCCCACTCGACTTGTGGATGTCCAGGGAGAGGAGTGCTTTACGAAGCGAGCGCTGTGTGAACTGCACTTCCGGCATGGAGCACTCACACCGCGGTATGGTCGGCGGCGTACTCCCCCCGTCATCGAGAGTCGAGTTGGACGCAAAGAAAGAGCCTAGAAGATCGGCTTTATCCTTTGCGATATGGGCCAGTGAATCGTCCTCCCCGTGCAGAGATATAGATATTGGGAAATTATTACTGGTATTTTAATTCTCCACTCCTCAAAAAAGAATAACCCAGCAACATATAAGTATAAAAAACAAGTCTCCTAGAGCCACAAGTACTAAGAAATATTGAACTAAAAAAATGGATTTTTATCTAAGCAAATACTATGTCCAGCACGTCAAAGTCGTTTATGTTTGACCGCTAGTGTCGTAATACGTTAGGCATGGATTTATTGAAAACTATTCAAAATTAAACGCAAACGTGTTATTTTTTAAAATTATTATTGATATTTGAATAAAACAAAAGGTAAGACATATAAACATATCATCAGCTACATAAATTAAAGAAATTTTCATCAAATCAACTTCGCATAATTAATCTAATATATCAACTCTGGCGCTTCCTTAGCGCGTCAGTTCATTGCGCGCCGTGGTCAAGGATAGACGACACCCTGATGATGTCATAAACGAATTGCGGAAAAAGTAGTGCAGTGCAACACGAACGATTCCTCAGAACTCATTCGCATTTTGGAAAGCGTCAATGATGATGAATTTTTTTATTTTAATAATATAAAATTACGAATAATAAATGTTAATTTTTTTCTTAAGATATGAAGAACAATTTTATATTTTGTGTTGTGCGATTTTATTTCTCAATCTAGGGTATTGACTGAAACCTCTATTATATTTGCTGATGAAATTTCCATTCTTATTTCGCATACAAAGCCCAGAATTTAAATAATAAATTGAATCAAGTATTGAACCAGGTTACAAATTCGTACACATCAACACATCACAACCTAGAGATTAATTTTAATAAAAACAAAATTATGCAATTCCGACCAGTTCAAAAATCACCACTAAATATCGCTTTTACTTATAATAATATAACTATAGGAACTGTTGAAAACTTCAACTTGTTAGACCTGGAAATCGACTGCCATATAAACTGGAAAGCCCATATAAATAAAGTAAAAAATACAGTGGCGGCTCATATTATTAGACCCATCTACTTAAATAATCGATTTGGCATTTTAATCAATATATATTGCATTCAAACTATGTCTGCTAAGTTTATATTTTGTTATTATGAATTTATGGACCTGTGTAGATTATGAATTTTTAACTGGCAACACTAGAGTGGATAATCTGTCACATGGTCGCCATTTTGTTGTAACACAGTCAGTCGACGCTTAACAGTTTCGTTGTCCGGGTGAGTATTTTGGAGATTATTTATGCATTTTTATCAATTTTTTTTGTAGTGTTGGTGTGTTTTAACAATGTTTGTCCATATGCAGCTTGCTTAAATATGTTTGTTGCTAAAAGAAATCATTTTCACATAAATTTTGTTATTTTATTTGCAGGATATATTTTAATCATGGGAAAAGCTAAAGATCTGTCTCCAAGGAAAATTTCCGAAATTAAAACTTTATTATTGCATACTGGGCATTCCCAAAGAAAGGTTGCATCGATTGCTAATGTTTCGAGGGCATCAGTTGACCGAATAAAAAAAACTTGACACAAATGTGGACCTGACGCCGAAACGTGCGAAAAATTGTGGACGAAAGAAAATTACCACGCCACGTGATGAAAGAAAAATCAGGGATATCTGTGTTGAAAACAGGAAGGCACCTCGGAAGATTCTTACGAAGAAGGTACAGGACGCTGGAATCAACATTTCCCTAGCAACAGTTCGTCGACGCATGAAAGACTTGTGGTTCATTTGTCGTCGACCGGCTAAAAATACTCTTCTTACACAGGCTATGATGTCAAAGCGTTTACAATGGGCAAAAGAACACCAGAACTGGACTGCTGAAGACTGGAATAAGGTAGGTGAATAATTCTTGAAGCTGCTGGAAGTAAAAAGCTAGATCCACATTAATTTAAATTAAATTTAAATTTTGATTTCTGTACACTAAAATAATAATAAATATTTCAGGTTTGTTTTTCTGATGAATCGTCAGTGCAAATTTTGTCGGACAAAGCTGTATTTGTAAGAAGAAGGAAGGGTGAGAAATTCAAAGAAGATTGCATAATCAAGCGAGTGAAGCACCCATTCAGCATCATGGTATGGTCCATAATAAGCAGCAAAGGCACTGGTGGTCTATACATTGTGGAGGGAACGATGCGGCAGGATCAATATATCCAGGTCCTTGAGACAAAAATGCTGCCCCAGGTCCAGGAGTGGTTTCCGAACGGCGAATTTACGTTCATGCATGACTCTGCTCCTTGCCTCAAAGCAAAAAAGGTCACGAGATTTTTAAATGCCCAGAAAGTAAAAGTTCTTGACTGGCCTGGGAATTCGCCGGATCTCAATCCCATAGAGAACCTCTGGGAGTTGTGAAACGAGAAATTTCCAGAGAACTCATCACTAATAAACGCTAACTGATCGAGCGTTTGATAGATGTTTGGCACCGGAGTGAATCAATTAAGATAAACTGCTCAAAATGTATCGAAAGTATGCCCAGGAGAATTCAGGCGGTTATAGAAGCAAAAGGCGGTGTCACTAAATATTGATTTAATTTATATTTTTATATTTATTGCACTTATTAAATACATAAGTTCCGTTTTCTTAAATGTATTAATAAAGCAATATACTTAATAAAATATATTCTAAACAAAAAACCTTCACATCCTTATTTTATTTCTACCTAAACTAAAATTAATCTACTTTTTTACTGTGGCTCTAATAATATGAGCCCCGACTGTAGGCTATCAAAATTCACTTACGTATTACGAGAAATAAAGCAAACCACAGATGTCCCTAGCGCTCTGTCAGCATATTACGCATACACATCTTCGTGGCTGTCATACGGTGTCATGTTGTGGGGAAATAGTAAAGATGCACAGCAATTATTTATAATGCAAAAAAAAAATTATAAGAATCTTGGCAAACATAAAAATTCCAGAAAGTTGTAAGCCCCACTTCAAAAAGTTTAAAATTTTGACTTTGACGTCACTCGACGTCATCGACGACTATTTATATTTGGGAAACATGCAAATTTGTAAAAGAACCACCCAGAACTATTTACCAAATTAAGTGAAACAAATTACAAATAAAAATAGGCTACTATTGCCGAAATCTACTATTGCTTTGCATAGCTCTAGTCTAGTCTCTATTGTATGGCAGTTAAAATTTTTAATAACCTAAATGACATAAAAAATTTAACGAGTTCTACATTATTTTTATCCAAATTAAAGTTATATTTAATTGAAAAATGTTTCTATAATTTAAATGAATATTTTGATACAAATATTATTTAATTTGTGTGGACGACTTCGGCCTGTGCCTATCTAATTTAATTTTTTTTTTATTCAATTATTATTATTTTTTACTTAATTTTATTATTATTTATAATAATAATAATATTTTTTTTACTTGACATTGTGATTATTAATTTAATTAAATTTACAGAATTTTAGAATAATATAATCTAATAATGTAATTTATTAATGAAATCTAATATTGTAGTTTAAAAATAATATTTAATATTTTTATAATTGCTACGCCCAAACTGTGTTCAAATAATGTGGACTATTTTTTTTAAAACATCACATCTATTGTTACCATTTGATTGCAATAAAGATTATGATTATGATTATCTCAAAATCATCTGGTAGCATCAGCATCATATCAAACCCCCATTGTCATAAGAGGTAAGACTTTTCTTCTGTGCTTCACTTGGCCTACGCCTCCCGCGACACATAAAATATTTTGAGTCGATCTCAATATATTTTGGTTAGATCAATTTCGAAATCGATACACAACGTGCGACACCGCTACATCTCTAAGAAAGTTTCAAAAAGGAAGGTCAGCTACGCCGTTGTCGTCCAGTCGTGACAGTGACATCATCACGATAAAGAGTAGTGTTGTGGTTTACTATTATTTTATTGTTATTGTTTGTTTTTATTTATGTACAAAGTACATATAAAAAAGAGTGGAAGACAGCACAAGATTAAATAAAACATACCAGATTATAAAGTCATTCATTGCATAAAAAATCAACAAAATCAAGTTATTTTGTGTTATCGATATATCAACTCTTGACAACACTATTTTTTCGTAAGTATTTTTGTTCAATTTTCGCTTTGGCGTACAGGACACGGTAATGCGTTTTTGGCGTGGCGCTCAAAAGGTTAATAACAAAAGAGTTTAATTGCAACGCCAACGTACACAAGGTAGGATTGTCCACTGTTTTTGATGAAATGATCATGTGCAACAAATAATTTATTAATACAAGTTTTCATACTTTTTATTCTAGCGTGAGACTCACCTTAAAGAGGGCTTGGGAAAACATGAAAGCATTTACTCGTAAAGCTCGTGCAACAGAAAGAGGATATTTATTTAGGACTGGAGGTGGACCACATGCACCACCTCCACCACCACAACAAGGAGCCATAATAAGCATGGTTGAAAATGTGAGTATCATGATATCCTCTGTATTGGTATTTTAGTGGGACTTTGTGGCATACATTTTTTATTATGCAAATACTCTGTGTTAATTTAAAAATTTTAATTATCAGGCTGCACCTGTAATGATATGTGAAATATATAACTCATTTGATAGTGAAGGTACTATTTTAAATGCAATAGATGACAGTCAAGAACTATAATTCATAAAAGAAAAAAGTGCTAGTGAAACTAACACCACTTCTCAATCAATTGATATCTTAGGTATGTAATTTAAGATTAACTCGTCTAGCTGGTATGTATGATGATATATGTTTTATTCACCAGTATGTTGCTAATAAGATGTTTAAATATCTTGTCTTTTTTTTAATTTTCAGATATTTTGAACAATGAAAAAGTAGTGGAATCTGAGGAAAACATATGTTTTGGAGTACAGAAAAATCCTGAAATCAGTCTTCAAATTGAAGAAAAACAAAATAGCGCAGGTATAATTATACAATTCATCCTATAACAAAATTGTTTAGTAACTTTATACTGATTTTGTATTTATATGTACCTATTATAGACCAAACTGGTCAAAATTATTCAGCAGTAACAAAGACCACCTATCCAGTGCATAGACCCACAGACCCTCAAACATTTGGAAAATAAGAAAAATATTGAAATGCAAATACTGAAAACACAGGTAAGTATCTATTAATTTCAACAACCTATGTAATGTAATTTTTTATTGTCTTATTTTTAAATCTTAATTGATATAGATGGTTTGATCTATTCGATTCATATGTACAAATAAAATACACATAATTAAATATGATATTTACAATATCATTATTTATCAAATAAAGATAAATTTTCTAATCAATAATAAAAGGTTATCTGTTCCTTATAACTAACAATACTAGTTTATAAAGTTTTCTGACCTTATGCAACAATGGAAAAGCTTAGATACTATTATATAATTCAACATTATTTTTAGGCTTTGTACTGTTCATATTCCATTGTAATATGAATGGTATCTTTGTTGAATTTACTTTCCTATATCTATAAACGCAATTTTATTTTATGGAATATGTCCAGAACTAAGCCTCATTGCTGTAATAATTTCTTCCTACAAACTAAAGGAAGTGAGAAAAATGTGGTTGTATAGTTTTATACTAAATACTTTTTGGCTTCTTTCATCAAAGTATTTGGAACAGTTTTCTGCATAGTTTTCTCGGACTTTAGATATGAGTTAGCTCTTCAGCATGAACATCTACCACCTCATTTCCCTCTAAACCAATATGGGAAGGCACCCATTGAAAGACTATCCTTTTATGGTTTGATTATAATGTTTAAATACTACTCAATATGTCATATGCCAATGGAAAACTGTGTTAATTCGTTGCAAAATTGACTTACATACCTATGTTTTTCTTTACAGCTAGAAGTTGAAGAAATAAATAAACGTGCTGCATTACAAGAGGAAGAAAGAAATAAAATTTTATTGCAAAAAGCTAAAATAGAACTCGAGGAACTGAAGAAAACAATACATGATTCTAACTAATTTGTTTATTTTTAGTATTATGATGATTTAAAATAAAAATATTATTATTTGAGTAATGGATTTTTATATATTAAAAATAATTAACATTAAGAAAAAACCCTTCGACTAAAGTTTGTCGCACCAGAAAACCATTATACTATTGGGGTTTTCAGTAATTGGTGCAATATCAACATCATGAATATCATTGCTATCGCAATTCAATGGCAACAAGTCATCTACCAATATTGATACATTATGCAGCGTTGCACATGCACATATAACAGCCACAACTGTATCCACCTTGATTCCCATTCCCACCTGAAGGCAAGGAAATCTTCATTTCCAAATACCAAAACATCTTTCCACGGTATTTCTGGTTTTTATTTGGCTTCTGTTATAAGTTTCTTGTGGAGATGAATTTGGTGACAAAAATAGTGTCAGAAGCATATTTCTAACTGCATATTCACTATCTCGTAAATGATCCCTTTTAAAACCCCAGTATTCATTCTTTGCTTAATAGCACTGCTGCTGTAGATAAAACTATCATGTGTACTGCAAGGCCAACGAACTACTTAATCATAAAATTCCAAGTTGGGCCCTGTGCCTGCCTGGACATTGATGGAAAACCACCTTTTCTATTTCTATATACTTCATAAGTTAATCCTCCTGGGCTTCTTATTTGAATGTGGGTACAATCAATACACCCAATCACTCCAGGAAAATGAGCTATTTCATAAAATTTTTGCCTGCAACATAAACGCAAAAATAAGTATCTATTCCTTTATGAACACCTACTAGGTAGTATTACATGTATTTCAAAATGGCCTTACTTCACTGTGTTAATCCCTTCTATAGTAGACGGGAATTTAACAAAATCTTTCAATTTTCTTGCTATTAATGTAGAAACTTGGGCAATAATGCGTGACACTGATTGCTGGCAGATATTCATGACATCTCCATCCATTTTCTGTAAAAGAATTCCACAGCCACACATTAGAAATTTATAATAACAACGTATAATATAATATTTTTAAATATCATGCAGTTTATCAATAATTACCTGGAAACTGCCTGTTGCGAAGTACCGTAACTTAAGCAGTAACATTATTTGTGGGGCAAATGGTAATCAGAGGACTCAAAAAGAGTTTTGTTGGTTTTCTTAGGCCGGTCAGCATAGGAAATAGTACACTTTTAAAGTTTCAGGTGTAAATTTATATCATGCATGAAATTCTTGAACAGAGTATTTTGTAAAGGGATTAGAATAATCTTTTAAGTACCGCCTTGGTCCCACTTCCCTATACCGTCTAGCATGGTCCACAAATTCAATAAACTCTACAAGATTGGACATTTTACTTTATATTTAAAAAAAATACTAATGCGAAATCAATAGTGAAAATATCAATATAACTTCAAACATTAATGTCAAATCGACCACTAGAAAGTTAAGTAAAGGTTTTGCTGTCCTTAACTTTAATTGTCATTAAGGGACGCTAATGAACCGTTAACTGACTTTGAGAATGAACTTTTTTAAATCTATACTAAGGAGCGCTTTAAGTAGCCGTTAAATGTCTCTGAGTGTGGCCGTAGAAGGTAAGTTATTCTACAACTCTGAGCATGACAAACCTAGAGCGTGTATTTATACTACTAAAGATATCTGTGCAAAACCATTAACAGATTTCTGTTTCGGAGACATGTATGCCGTAGCATTACAAAATAAACAGGAGGGAAGATTAGTCATTGCCTCGGTCTACATGCCTGAGGAACACAATCCTCCCCCTCATGACCTCGTCAGGCTGGTGAATTTCTGCGAGAGGGCCGGACTAGAGGTTGTGATTGGGGCAGACTCCAACGTGCATCATCCCCTTTGGGGAGTGGAAAAACCCAATGAACGAGATAAGGTATTAGTTGAATATTTATTTAGCACTAACCTAACCATTTTAAACACTGGTTCTGAAACAACTTTTATAAATAAACGCTGTCGCACACTATTCAACCTCACACCTGTAACAGAAGGAGCAGCTAAATTAATAACGGGATGGCATGTGTCATAAGAGGCCTCATGCTTAGACCACAGATGGATCTGCTGCGTACTACAGGTCAATATCCCCGCTATACCACCATGGAGAAATCTCCGCAAGACTGCTGACGTCTTTGCTTGCGGGTGTTGGGGGAACTAATATTACAGCAGATCAATCGCTCCTTGAAGAACAGGTAGCAGCTGTTACTAAAGCCATGATTCATAGCTACCATTAATCATGTCCAGTACTCCACCAAAACATGCCGAGAATATTCGTTTCATATTCGGTAATCAGAAGCATTACCATGTAAGAATTGACTAATGCCACGTCTTTCGTAATTTTACTTTTGAAATTTTATTTTATTTATGAGTTAAATCTACTTCTATAGTGTTATGTTTTTGAAGCACTATAGATTTATTTCCAATTATAGCAAATAAAAAGCTTAATAAATGTTTTTGGAATCAAACAAAGAAACTTTACACTAGTACATTTCACTTTACATTGATCTTCAGTTTATCTAAAATAAATCCAAATAGTAGATCTCCTGCGTAGAATAACACAAAAAATAACTTATTAAGTGCTTTGGTGGTAAGTTTTTAGCGAAATGTGAAGCGGACGCGCCAGGGGTATCAATATTTAGACCTTTCGGATTTTTTTTACTATATTATTATACCAAAATAGACACAAAAAATATCGTGGCTCAGTTAGATCATACTTTATATTCATCATCATCATCATTACAGCCCTTCACAAGTCCACTGCTGAACATAGGCCTCCCCCAAGTAATGCCACAAAGCACGGTCCTGAGCCACCTGCATCCATCGACTTCCTGCATGTCTTACCAGGTCGTCACTCCATCTAGTGGGGGGTCGCCCTACACTACGCCTACCGGTACGAGGCTGCCACTCGAGAACCTTTCTTCCCCATCGGTTATCGGTTCTTCGAGCTATATGGCCGGCCCATTGCCACTTCAGCTTACTAATCCGTTGGGCTATGTCGGTCACTCTGGTTTTACTGCGGATATCCTCATTTCTGAGTCTATCACGCAGAGAAACTCCGAGCATAGCCCTCTCCATAGCTCGCTGAGCGACCTTAAGCGTCCTCATACGGCCAGCAGTGAAGGACCACGTCTCAGATCCGTAAGTCATCACTGGCAACACGCACTGGTTGTACAATCTAGTTTTTAGAGATTGAGGTATACCTGACGAAAAGATATGCCGTAATTTCCCCGAACGCTGCCCAGCCGAGTTGAATCCGTCGATTGACCTCTCGGTCGAAGTTGGACTTACCTAGTCGGACTATTTGTCCCAGGTAAACGTATTCGTCAACAACTTCGAGCATAGTGCTCCCAACAACTACCGGCATAGGTGTGACATGGACATTGAACATGATCTTTGTTTTGTCCATGTTCATCTTAAGACCTATCCGTTGGGAGGCACTATTGAGGTCATTGAGCATAGTGCTTAAGTCCTCCAGCGATTCTGCCATAAGGACTATATCGTCGGCAAATCGAAGGTGAGTGATGTACTCGCCATTGATGTCAATACCGTATCCTTTCCAGTCCAGTAGCTTGAAAACGTCTTCCAATGCAGCGGTGAAGAGTTTCGGGGATATAACGTCACCCTGTCTTACACCTCTCTGCAGTTGGATAGGTTTCGAGCTCTGGTTCTGTACTCGGATAGCCATCGTAGCCCTACTGTACAAACACTTCAGCACTTCGATATACCGACAGTCAACTTGGCACCGCTGAAGGGACTGTAGCACCGCCCAAATTTCGACGGAATCAAAGGCTTTCTCATAGTCCACATACGCCAGGCAAAGTGGCAGATTGTACTCTTCAGTCTTCTGTACAATCTGCCGCAGGGTATGTATGTGGTCTATGGTACTGAAGCCTTTTCGGAAACCGGCTTGTTCGGGAGGCTGGAAGTCGTCAAGTCTGCGTGCGAGACGATTCGTAATGACTCTCGAAAACAGCACGTAGACGCGGCTCAGAAGGGAAATCGGTCTGTAGTTCTTTAAGAGAGCGTTGTCGCCTTTCTTAAAGAACAAGACCACCGCACTTCTGCTCCACGCCTCTGGAGTAGTGCCACCATGGAGGACGGAATTGAAGAGCTTCTGAAGGACTTCAAGTACCGGTGTTCCACCCGCTTTCAGAAGCTCCGCTGTAATTCCATCCTCGCCTGGGGCCCTGCCGTTTTTAAGGTGCTGGAGAGCCATTCTAATCTCGCTTAGACTGACGTCCGGGATATCATCGGAATAGTGTCGGATAAGACTTGCTCTTGGATCGTTACTCACACTTGTGTGTGGCTCCAACGATGATGTGTACAGCTGCCCGTAGAACCTCTCAATCTCACTCAGAATCTCAGGTGTCCTGGAAACGATGTTGCCACACTCAGTCTTCAGCCTTGACAGTTGGCTCTTTCTGGCAGACAGATCTCTGGCAAAGACTTTGGAGCCCTGGTTCCGCTCGATCGCTTCTTTAATACGAGAAGTATTAAAGTTGCGTAAGTCTCGCCGTATGCATTTGGAGATCTGTCTGTTCAGTAGCCTGTATGCTGTCAAATCTGTTGACGATTGCAGCCTCATCTCCCGTCTAACAGCCATGAGATTAAGAGTGTGATCGGAGAGCTTTTGTGTTCTTCTGCGGCGGGTCTTGCAGAACTTAGCTCCGACCGCATGGACAGTTTCCACGAGCTTGTCGTTCATATCGTCCACTGCATTGCAATCTTCTAGGCACTGGAAGCGGTTACGTAACTCGAGCTGAAAGGTTTCGGGATTCTGGATTAGAGCACGAGGGGGACGGAGCGTTGACTTCATTAGACGAGACCTCTCCAACTTAACGTTTAGGTTCAGTGTGCCTCTAACCATTCGGTGATCGCTGCCAGTTTTCACCCTTGCGATCACTGAGACATCACTGAACAGTTGGCGTCTGGTCGTCATAATGAAGTCAATCTCATTTTTTGTCATGTTCTCACATTTTGTCATACTTTATATTATAGCATAAAAAATATTTTGGTTTCTAAATTTAATACAACGGGTACTTTTTTTCTCCTGACTACGTAAATTGAGCCTCTCAAGATTCACCCTCATATCGAAATTGCCGGCTCATGCTTATGTTTTGCCTATTTTTGTGAGAAAAAAGTATTTTTTTTGTGTTATTCTAAGTGAAAATTGATAATTATATGCTAAAAATGAGTCGCAGGAGATCTACTATTTGGATTTATTTTAGATAAACTGACGATAAATGTAAAGTGAAATGTACTAGTGTAATGTTTCTTTGTTTGATTCCAAAATGAACGGAAATAAAATAAACAATGCAGTCTAATCGCTACCAGGTTTGTTGTTGGTATATAAAAAAATATACCGTATGTGTATTTATGACAGTTTTATTAAGAATTATAATATATAGTTTGTCCGAGACTAAACAGGGATTCCCGTGGCGGGCCACTAAACTATGTGCATCCCTAGTGGAATGTTATATAGGAGTGGATCCGTTTCGTCGCATGAGCGCTAATAGTAGCGCTTCGAACGTCGTTGTGGAGAGTTGCGCCGCTCGTTGATCCAGGACGAAATTACGAAGGTAAATATTTGATTCCCTTGGTTTTGATTAGCTAGGTCGTTGATTACCCTGACCACGTTTATAAATGTAATATGAATTTTAAGGATTTGTTGTCGGTGTTAATGGAACAGCTTTAATGATCGTTATTTATTTATTTCATTTTCATTATTTAAAACGTATTCTTTTTATCAGAATCGATAAAAACATCCTACTTTTTGATTCCATTGGCATTGATTCCCTTGGTATTTGCGCCAGGGTAATCAAAATTCCTGATGAAAAATCGAAATATTCCTAATTTTCAACGAAAACAAGAAAATTAGCGTATTATTTCTTCCACATATATTTATTTTGTATCCGTTTTATCGATTAAAGGTTATTTATTATTATTAATTCGCGCGACTTGCCTGCGTGTTATTTGAAAACGACAAATTTTATCAATATGAACAATTTATATGAATATCTTAATGTCCTTGTTCGTATCAAAAAACAAAGCCCAAACCAACTACGAAACAAATTTTAGGGATCAGCTATGTTAAGTTTTTAAATCACTTATAAAGATATTTCAGATTTGAGCAATGCCTCCAAAACAATCAAGGCAAGAAAGGTTAGAGAAGAAATGACTTGCTGAGCGTCGCAGACTACAAAAAATTAAGAATGATCCCGAACTTATGAGTCCACGGCAGCAAAAACTTGCAAGAAAGTAAAGTAGGGAAAGTTCAAATCGTTACAACCAGAAGAAGAAAGTCGAATTTGATTTTGAAGCGCTTAAAAACTGATTTTCTGAATACTGCAAAGATTTTGTAGAGCCCTTGTCTAGCTCACAACCCAGCAGGGCATTGGAATTTACTGCAAAAATTCTGTTTGAATATGGTCCATTTATGAGAACAGAGAAGAAAACCAACCACCGAGGTGACAAGGCTATAAGGTTTAGATTTCCATACAAGAAGACAACTGATTCTGGTGAAGAACTATCAATCAAAGTAGTCAAAGTAACTACATTCAAAGAAATGGAATTCACAAAGCAAGTTGAAGATAACAAGTTAATCCTAATATTTCGTCAAGCAGGATTGTTAGCAATGGTGACCTTTAGTAAAGCTATAAGTTATTGTTACAACACTAATGCTTCAAAGTTGCTAACACCATTATGTGGAGCAATCTTCTCACGTGACTCAATTAAAGACATGGCACAAGATCTTGGTGTCGAAGAAGTCAAATGCTTAAGAATTGTTAATGAGAGTGCCACTTCCGGTGGCCAGTACCTCCCAGACTCAGACATAGCATGTGCAGTGGTCTGTACGATAACATCAGCAAAAAGATTAAATCCGGATTTACATTTTTATCTGGCGTGTTGTGTTGTGACGCATCAGAATGGTATCGGTTTCATACATTTAGTATGGTGAGATTTATATTTGCGTGTCGTGATGTGTTGTGCTGACTTCTGATGCGACGGATCAAACGAGATTCCGATCGCATCAGAGGGGTGGAGGTGGGTGGGCGGGGGAGCGGCCGCCTGGCGACGCTGCAGAAAAGTGTGCACGCGACAGTATTGCGTTGTCACGCGTCAGAGCCACGTGCGTTTTTTGTTTATCCACTCGATTTAAAGTTTTAGAAAAGAATTTAAAGTATGGACGAAAATTCTTCCAAATTGCGTTACATACTTGTTCTACTATGATCTTTACTGTAGCGAACCCCATACGGTAATTGAACCCCAATGATCGAAAAGAATTTCCAGTTGCCATAAATCTGTAATATAAAAACACAGATAATTTATTTTTGTTTCAGCGGAAAAATGTAAAGATGACTGGAATAAATTACGAAATAGCTACGTCAACGCATTGAAACGCCGTAAAAATAAAAAAAGTGGGCAAGCCGCTCAATTTATCCCGCCATGGAAATATGAAGAACAAATGAGTTTTTTACAGCCATTTATGGAATCAAGGTCGACAACAACAAATCTTTCATCACCTCCTGAATCTCCAGAATTTCACTCAGAAAGTACTCAATCAAACAATTCTCGTCCAGCAACACCACATACTGGTAGTTCCTCGCACTCCCAACAGCCTGTTAGAAAACCAAACTTACAGGATCTATATGATATGATGAAGTCTTCGCACGATTTGAGAATCCATAAGCATCATTCAAAGCAGCAGCAGAATAATATGACGGATGAAACAGACTTGTTTTTTCTGAGCATGAGCAAAGCAGTTAAAAAACTTCCGAAACTAGATCAGACCAAAATAAAATTGGATTTGCACTAGGGATGTTGCGAATATTCGCATCCGCATCCGCAAATGCGGAACTTCCGCATAGATTTGGACTTCTGCATCCGCATCCGCATCCGCAATAATCAATGCGGATTTTCATGCGGATGCGAATGTAATACAAGTTGTAACAAGAAAGAAATGAGCGGGGCCAGCAATGGCGCGTGCTGTTTGCACGTGACAAATACCAATGGGAGCGAAAACATCGGTGGACAAGATCCGACGCGTTTCTTGTGGTGCATAGTTTGTTTATTGTAAATAAATCATAACGTGTTTGTTTGCGCTGTGGATTGCTTGTTGTGTGGATCATTGTGTGTACTTAAATAATTGTTTATTGGGAAATCGTCAGGTAAATGCCATTATGTAACGTGTACACCAGTAATACGTTTTACTGTAGGTAAAGTTTAAATCATTTTAAAACAATTTTTTTATTTATCTAGCGAGGTTCCCGTTATTGTTAAATTATCTAACAAGTTAATTAATAATGTCACCACCGACACAAAGTAATATATTGAATTATTTTGAACCAAATAAAGAGGACCTTGATAAGACTGATTGTAAAATATCCAATAAAAGCTACTCTCGCAAGGGCCGAACCACCTCGTCTTTAAAAATCATCTAAAGTCGATGCACCCAGAAGAATTTTCCAAATATGAGATCATGAGTAAAGAAAATCAATTACAGAAAATAAAATCTTCGCTTTTTTAGCAAATGTTTAGTCTAGAAATTTATCATAATATCATTATTTAAATAGGTAGTGATGTCTTTTTTTAACATTACTTTAGTCGTAGCTGTCTTGTTACTTAATCCTTTCCATTTTATGAAAAAATAGAATGTAAACAAACAAACCTGGCTTGTATAATCCGACCAAATTAAGAAATACTCGTTCCTTTCGCTTTTTAGTTTCTTTGTAAATGTCTGTTATTTGTTTAATTTTGTCTTAATTTAAATTTTATACTTATTAATTATGACTAAGACACTAAAAAGTTTTATAATTTACTTATTTTTTTATATTTGTGATAAATAATCACACTTTGCTATGATAATAATCATAATAGGTTTAAATTGTAAAAGCGACCTCAAAAGAACTCTTTTTACGATTTGTTTACATTTAGATTTAGATTCGTCAAGTGAAGATGAGAGTCAAGAAGTACCAGGAAATGGTAGCACTGAAGCTGTACTCAAAAAGGAATTACTTTAATACCGCTCTAAAAAAAAGACTCAATGTGCATGAAAATCCTCTTAAATGGTGGAGTGTTCATCGAGAGGAATTAAGATATCACCGATAGCACGAAGATTTTTATTCACTCCATCAGGCAGTGTTCCTAGCGAACAATTATTTAGTAGCGCAGGTTTAATTTACAAACCTCTGCATAACCTCCTTGAATCAGAAGAAGCGGCAGTATAATTCTCGTTATTAAGTATTTTTAACTTCACTTACTAATATGAAAATTAGTAAGTGAAGTTAAAAAATATAGAAGCATTATACTTAATACTGATTTTCATTAATAAAAATGTTGATAATTACTTTATCATTAGGTTCACTTACTAATATGAAAATTAGTAAGTGAAATACTTAAATAAAAATTGGAGAATTATACTTATTACTAATTTTCATTAACAAAAATTTTAATAATTACTTTATAATTGTTTTAATTCTTCATTCATATACTATTTTTATATAAGATCTTAAACATCCGCATCCGCATCCGCATCCGCGGATGCGAACCTTCAAAAATCCGCATCCGCATTAACATCCGCGGATGTGAAAAAATTGGCATCCGCAACATCCCTGATTCGCACACTGCTGTATCACAAGCTGAAATAAGGAAACTTCAGACACAAGCACAAATTCTTAGAACACCAATTAATGTGACTCACCAGATAGTTACTCGGCCACAACAACCGCTGCCACTCCAGCTACCCATTCAACCATCCACATCCATGACGACATTTCCAGCAGTCCCAGCTACACCAACTCTCGACAACATCAACTCTCAACAATCGGCCTCAACACTTTATAATTTTGAAGAAGATAACATCTCATCATATTATAGCAATGCAGACTTTTCTGATGATAACTGATTATCTATCTTTACTAATAATGTTAAAAAAAAACAAATAAATCCTTACCTTAAACACACAGCAAGTCTTTCTTTTGTCCCTATAGGTTTACGAAACTTCGTATGTATTTTTTTATGTCCCCTTCAATCAATGAATGAACTTCCTCGAACTGTGCCTTGGACATTCTAAAATACTGATGAAATCTTTGAGCATCGTTCTCAATCTCTTTAACGAGACAGTGAAACTCGCCTTTAGACTCTCTTTTATTATTCACTGGATGAACCCAATATCTTCTTCTCTTTATTTCTTTCTTTTTTATAAGAGTTGCCAGCACCAAAAATTCAATATCTTCTTCATAGTCGGATGATTCATGGGAAAACATTGTAAACGTATGAACTCTCCGAGAGCTATGACTGTATTGATTCAAAATATCGTCAGAGGCCGTCAGAACACAACATAAAGATGTGAACACTAGCCATCACGTCAGAGCCCGTCACGACACAATACATCAGGCAAATATAAATCCGCCTTAAGTGACAAACATGTTAGAGATTCAATGATTTCAAAAGTTGTCAAACAATACATACATCAAGGTAAAGAATATGTCCATACAAGATTCACTACCTTTGCAAAATATGCTCTTGGTGGTGTACCACCAGGAATAGATTCCCTCGCTCTTATAGAGATGTATAATGCAGTCCAGACCCAGAGTGTGTCATTGAGGGCAATGACAAAATCTATGAAAGAGACAGAGACCACATATGAGGCTAACATCTTAGGAGGTACTTCTTCATATGAAACTCAAACCCCTAGACCTAAGGCACCTACCTACAGGAAAGAAGTGAATTTAAGGACACATAGTATTCTGATGGAGAAGTCTTTCACTTTCCTAGCATCTATTGCTATGGCCGCTTGGATGATACCCATGCATTCAGCCTGGAACACTGTGTTGTGGGTACCCAGCGGTGTGCATATGTGGATATTAAGGTCTTCAGAAAAAGCCCCAGACCCCACACCTTCATTTGTCTTAGAGCCATCCATGAAAACTTTGAGCTCTCTTGGACCCTATCCTTCCAGATGGTCAGTTTTCTTCAATTGTATCCTGTACTTCTTATCGAATACAAATTGTTTTGGGATCCTATCATACTTGGCTTGTAAGATAGGAATTTTTGAGTAAATTCTATCGATTATATCTGTATGGGGGACTCTACTCTTACTTAAAAGATTTAGGGTCTTGAGTCTAATGGCAGCTAAAGTTGCTTCTTGTTGTATATGTAGATGAAGCGGTGTTAGCTCCAGCATAGCCTCCAAAGCTGCTATTGGTGTAGTCCTTATGCAGCCCGTGGCAGCCATACAAGCTAATCTCTGGTAACGCTGAAGCTTTTGTATAGTGGTGGCTTCATTGGTTTTGGTCTACCATACCAGAGAGCCGTATGTGATCATGGGCCAAATTACAGTTTTGTACAGCCACAGTATAACTTTTGGCGTTAAACCCCATCGTTTGCCAATCATGTTCCTGCATTGCCAGAAAGTTAAACTAGCTTTGCTGATTTTGTTTTCTATGTGTTTGTTTCAGTTAAGTTTACTGTCCAAGGTAAGACCCAGGTATTTTACCTCAGAAGAAAGTTGGAGTTTTGTGCTGAAAAGACTTGGAAGATGATAGTTATTCAGCATTCGTTTTTGTGTGAACATTACTATAACCGTTTTATTTGGATTAACGGTTAGGTCATATTCCCTGCATCATAATACGGAGAGCCGCTTGGGTCAGGTCGCACATAATGCTTGCTGTCTTACCAGAGACCAGTATTGTCAGATCATCTGCATAACCGTGTAGAAATGATTAGCGTTTAATTTGCTGATGAGTTCATTAATGACCATATTCCACAGGAGAGGTGAAAGATCCCCACCCTGCAGGCATCCTTTCATGATTCTGTGCCGGTTCAACATTATGTCCACTTAGGACACCTTTTATGCTGGAGAAATTTGTTCTGTCAAAAGCTATTCTATGTCTATGAAGGAGCCTAGACATATTGCTTTGTTTTGGATGGCCTCTGCAATCTTTGTTAACACCTGGTGAAGTGCCGATTCTGTTGATTTACCTAAGCTATAGACGTGTTGTTTTTCATGTAGCAGTAAGTTAATTAGCGCCGACCCTCTCAACTCTCGTTTACACATCCTCTCCATCGTCTTTAGTAGAAAGGATGTGAGGCTAATAGGTCTGTAGGATTTAGGGTCTGTATAGTCGTTCTTACCTGGTTTGGGTATAAACGTGACTTTCACTTCCCTCCATCCCCTAGGAACATATTTAAGAGCCAGACATGCTCTCATTATGGCAACAAGTCTGACTATTAGGACTTTACCCACTGTAGAAGTGCCAGGAATAAGCCGTCAGGTCCTGCTGCCTTATAGGGTTGGAAACTATGAATGGCCCAATGGATTTTGTCCATCGTCACCACTCTGTTAACCCTGTGTCACTAACCATTCGTCAAAATCACGACGCGTACCTTACGTATTTAGTGTTTCGGTAAGATCCTGTATCCCGCCACCCTGCCCGTTTCCAATACTTTCCTTATTCGCATCGCTAGTGACCCGCAATCACTCCTTGTGGCTGCACACTTACTAGATCGGGACATATCATGTGATCATCGTAAAATTTACGAAAGGTTAGTATCTAACTTTTTTTTTCAAAGTTGTGCATTTATTTTTTGTCAACTAATTTCAATAATTATTTAGTGATTGCAATTGAATTGCGATCTCGTAACCGTAATGCAAGCTTACAAATAAAAATGTAACCGTCTCTCTTTTTATCGTGTTGCAAACCTGTGTAAGACACTATTCCAAAACGCGGACTAAATATGGTACTGGAGTTAGTACCAGGTTTAAATAACTAAATAAAACGTTATTCCACATATATTAAATACATATATTAGAAC